CTATTCTATTTAATAACTATTCAGCAGCTGTTTAGCAGCTATTTGGCAATTATTCGGTAACTATTCAGCAGCTCTTTCAAAGAAGTATTGCTTCCAAAAACGCTTCAAGAAGTCATGCTTCTGTGGATATCTTCATTATGGAATATTCGAAATGCAATATCGAATATTCTAAGTGCAATGCAGATAGAATGTTGTCAAAAATCCAGCCGGGCCTCCAAAAAGAGCCACTGGACTCTCTAGGATGAATACGTCAGTATTCTAAGTGCTAGCAGGTTACTATACCTTATATACAATCATCATATCCAATACATTCCAATACACCCACTACTATTCCATTCCGTTGATGTCGCTCCTCCTGTCGCACCTCCATCTCGCTGGCGTCCGTGCGGCCGGACGTGTTGATCCTGGGGCTTTAAGGTGACACATCATGGGATAATCTTGTGAGAATCTTGGTTGATACATGAATTGATGTTAATTGCTTGATATTGACAAGTGATTATGGGAATTGATATTGATATTTTACATGAATTGATATGAATTGATATTGCTGATGTCAAAATGATTATCGTTTCAGTATCATGTCAACTCTGGATTGAGACAAAGCCACAGTTGATTCAAAACATATGCCAGGATAAAATTTTGAGGGGGGGAACCGGCAAACCCTTCCAACTACTAGTCAGGATTGGCCAGGGTTGACATTACATGCGCCATTCTGGCGGCGAAGCAGACCAGCGGCAGTGTCATGAGCAATAACAGATAAGACGACATCGCTGATGCTGAAAATAGAAATAGTTATTTGGACTTACTTGTGGTTCCTTTTTTCGGTGTCTGAACCCTATCTACTTCTTGTTCTTCATCCCTTACTGTCCCTTACCTTCCCAACGAAAAAAACACAAGGGATACAAAGGGATAGGAAACCAGCAGCTAGCTGTGGCTGGAGGATTGACAAATTTTGAGTTTATATGGTCATGCCATCCCATAATAGTAATGGAAATCACTGGCTGTATAGTGATCCCGTTTTGAATGGACTGATGAACATCCCGCAGGGATCCAAGGACTAGGTATACATACGTATACAGTACATACTGGCACGTAGAACCGCCAGAAACTGGGCCCTTGCAGATGACGCGAACATCGTCCGAGAGACGGAAGCAACGTAGGTCGCCGTTTCCCCGATGAACTGCAAGGGTCGGGTTGCACACAACTGCCACAAATACCACCTCAGCCGAAACCCTCTTATTGCAGGCCATGCCGCAATGCCATGTCCAGGTGGTGCCCCTTAATTTGCCAAGTTGATTCTCAATTTATAGTCATTGGTCTATGGTAGATCTAAAGTTCATGGGGGTTACAAACCAACTTATAACTAGGGGGTATCACCTTGTGCGTTTCCATATGCAAGAAGACTTTCCGACACTTTTCCGCCGCCGTCATTTCGAAGGAACTTGAAAACAGGTCAGGATAAAAAAAAGAACGGCCAAGCAATACATATATATATATACCCATTGACAAGAGTAGATTGCTTACATTTGAAGGCACAATAGGATTGCAGCTGAGCACGGCTACAAATGTCCGTAAGGATCAAGCAAAAAGTAAAACCAACCAATATTAGCCACAAACATGGATACAAATGTGCTGAAAAAGGACTGGTTCCTGCGGTGGGGTACACTTTGGGGGTGGCCTATGGCCGATGTATTTTTTATCCATATCCACCATGTGATTAGTTGCGTGGCGCACGCACCTTCGCATCAACTTCTTGCATAGTTTGTTATGGGGGTCTGGGGGTCAAATTTGAATAATATGTACAACCATTAACCATTGTTGGTTTCGTTTCCCAAAAGGAACCTTTGCATTATATAATCCAAAGATCATGGATCCAGTTCTGTAACAAAATGACCGGCTGAATGCAAACCAGGTACTCAAAGCCACGGGTTGTTGATTACAGCTTCCACACACTCCAGCGTTCTCTAAGTATTCCTTTCGGCAGCCCAAACAAACGTATCCTGGGCGATTCGGCTGCAGCCTGAAGGGGCCCCCGATCGTCCCAAAAACGATCCATTATCTGCCAGGTATGACTGAATACCAAAATATTGCTAAATTTCTGCATCAAACCTGGCAAGGTATATTGTAGCGCGCCATGCCCCAGCCATGGTACCATCTCACAAGTACTAGTATCCCACAAAATCCATTAGAATTTATATGGTCTTCAATGGTCTTCCAACCAACCTAGGTTCCCATGCATCCCGACCCAGGGTTGATCACCGTTGAGAACAAGTGTCTGGCAGTAGCTTGAACTGGCAAGCCGCAGCATTTCACCCCCGATCTGCTGTATTTCACAAGACAAGTCCCACATTCGTAGGGAGCTTGATTGTTCTGCAAATCATGCACCATGTGGCCCTTGCAGCAGTGCCCCTTGCCAAAATAATCCTCATTTCGATTGCTTGGAACGTTTTCAAGATGAATGTGATTTGGGAGAGGCCCAACACCAGGCCTCTCGGCAAAACTTGGAACAATCCAACATTATACTGCCTTGGGATTCTTTAGGATATTTCAGGATGTTTCAGGCAATGAGTTTTAGACACTTTACTGGTCGTGCTTTGACTTCACACAGGGGCGGGGCTCGGCAAACGGAACAAGCAATGATGACAGCCATGAGCCCGAATGCGAAGAAATTCTTGCAAAACACTCTCCATGGATATCCTTCCCAATTTTGGAATGTTTTGGGATAATCAGCTGGGAATCTCATGCGCAAAACTCCTGCAGGACTCTCTTCTACTGGCACGCTCCCTCCAGAGACTCACTCAGGACTCTTTTGAGATACTTTTGCAAGACACATTTGCAAGGCACTCTCGTCAGACACTCTTGTGAGACACTCTTGTACACTCTTGTAAAGACCGTTGATTGACACTTTTGCCAAGCACTCTGTAAGATACGTTTCTCCATGTCACCCAGCGTCACTCTTGTTTTTGGCGCCGGGCATCTGAGAGGCTCGCGACTGCTGTCATTTTTTGCATCATACTATCAACATAACATTGGGTGGGGGTGGGGTGGGGTGGGATAATAACGCCATTGGCACGTCCACATATACGTGATGTAACATTACTGTAAGCTCTCTGGCGCTTCATTCATATCCATACGTACGTCATGCTACGCTGCTGTAGATTCCCTTGCACTTCCACACATACGTCATGCTACGCTGCTGTAGGTTACGCTGCTGTAGCCTCTCTTGCGCTGCCACACATACGTCATGCTGCGCTGCTGTAGGTTCTCTTGCGCTTCCACACATACGTCATGCTACGCTGCTGTAGCCTCTCCGGCGCTTCCACACATACGTCATGCTACACTGCTGTAGGTTCTTTTGACAATGATGATGGTGATGATGATGATGATGACGATGTTGATGATGATGATAATGATGATGATGATGATGGTGATGATGTTGATGATGATGATGTTGATGATGATGATGATGATGTTGTTGATGTTGTTGATGATGATGGTGATGACAACGTGGATATTTCTTATGAAACTAAAATTTCGTTTTTGAGCCTTTCCAATTTCCCTATATAAAATGTCTGAAAAGTGACGACAGTCGCGAGCCTTTCAGATGCCCGGCACCTTGTTTCTGTATGGGCCATGAGGTTAGTTTTAACTGGCCAATATCTCCAATAACTGGGTTACATCCCCTTGCTACTCATTGTAAGTGGACGACAAGAAACCCGTTATCAAGAGCCGATTAACTCCACAGTCCATCTAAGTAATTAATGCATGTCCCAAGTTCTGGCTTGCCACAAAAAGGGACATGGCACATGACAGAGGAATTGAACTCCCAAGTTGTGCGCCGGAGCTTTACACTTATGTAGCCGTATTTCTCATATTTGAACAGCTGACCATGGTCAGCTTTTTCCAACATCATTTGAACCTCAGCAGCATCAATTGTGTGTACAAAAGAAACAACATGGGCTTGGTGATGCCCTATGAATTTCCACGTGTTCTATCGATCTTATATTATCTAGATATTTATATTACGAATATATTAATACGCATCAGGGTTCCTTATATGTATATATCTGTCAAAGATTGGCTTCCGTCAATCCACACTATATATTATATACACACTGTATTTATTGATTTATCTATTTATCAACTTTGGGTTTCCAATGTTACGTATTACTTGACATCGACCCCCATTGATACGTCAATCAGAAACACCGAGAACCCTTCGCCACACATTAACAGAAACTGCTTGAAACAACTGTGGAACACTTTGCCCAAGTGCATCATGATGGCCCCAATTTCCATGAGTATTTCTTTGAACAACCTCGAGGTTGTTCAAGCCAAAACTCACGCTGAGTTGCAGCCTCCTCCATCCTGTAGTTGCATTGCTTGCATATAAAGCGACGGCGACCGCAGAATTTGATAAACTCTGGGCCGCCCCCGCACTTTTTGCATTCTTCCACTCGTGCGGGCGGATCAAAGAACTTCTTCCCACAAATCTTCCCTGACTTCTCGTCGCTGCGCACGCAGATGTAATCAGCGCATTTCCCATCCGCACCTTGACCTCATGGATAAGGCTCGCGGTCGACGTTGACCAAATGAGGAGACGTAGAAAGAATATAGTTTATTAAAAAATGATATGGACATACCTCGTGCCCCAAGTCCCTTCAACACCCAAAGTCTGATAGTATCAAAAGCACCTCAACCAAAATGAAAGGAACCTCAAAGATCTTAAAGCATCTTATATATTAATTTCGATGACAAGGGAGCTACTCTAGGTTTCTTGCAGGGCATTTTCTTCAAATCAAGTATCCACAATCATGAGAAGCCTGAAATTTCACAGGGATCCAGACCACGGGTCCACCATGATCCACCCGCCGAGTATGCGCCGAGTCGCAAGGAACCATGCTTTCATTGCAACAACGGAGTGGCTTGCGCGCGTGCTTCCGGCCACATGCGAACGACACCGACACCGTCACCTTTCCCTGGCCGAAGTTTTTCCTGGACCAGAACGGAGGGCTTAGTACCAAGGCAAGGGACTGTAGCCAGCATGTCTTGCGAGGTTCATCATGTTTTAGTATGTATTGTTTTAAGCGCCATTCAGCTTAATACCTAAATCTTATAAATAAAGGTGGGTTTATCAAGAGTGCATCATAATGCATCAATAATCAATATAGAAATAGAACATGCAAAATAAAAAAGAAACTGCTGGAACCCCTGCGGTGTCACGTCCCTGCTTTCTGTTGATTATTGAGGCAGGTGCCACTTGTTGCCATTCGGAACGCTATTTTTGATTGACATTATCGATCATGAGTGAGCAAACATGTTTGTTCTGACTCCATCGAAACTACGTATAGATTCTATAGATGATTGCACTGGACTTGTTGGGACAGAACAGAATTGTGCAATGTTTGCCACCTTGGGGCACCCATGGGCACCCTTTCGCCCTGCCGTTTTTGAACCCCCTTCGGTCTCGTTGAGCTTTTTGACGGCGACGATCACATCCTGCTCAGTTTCGAAGCTCAATCTTGCCGCGTCTTTGCCGAACTTTTCGCTGAACTCCACCTTTGTTGGTTCCAAACCCGCCTGGCGCCAAGGAAGATGAGTCAATCCCATAAGCGATGTGCCGACCCTTTTGAATGGGATTTATCCAGGGATATAGAGATGCAAAAATCTGACTCCACCAGAATGGGCTGGGGCGGAGAATTCCCAGATCACCCAACTGCCGCAGTTTCAGGCCACAAAAACCCGGAAATGGGCCTCATCCTTGACAAACTGCTTCAGGACCTTCTCTGGAGTTCCTTTTGGCAGGTTGCGAATCCAGCACGTCAGGCCAACCTCAAATCAGGCGACCAATGGGCGATGCTATCGAATGTCCCTTGGGAAAAATAACAGGGTCTCTTCTCTATACCATTCAATCCATTCATGAGTTGCGGCTGTTTCGTTGAGGGCGCCCGCATACTGATCGGCAAAACAGTGGAAAATGGACGATGGTCGACGATGGTCACATCGAGCCACCTCATCCCCGTCGGAAGTGTGGCTAGGCTTGTGGCCCGGCCGTGCAACACACCAATAGCGAAGCTCAGAGGGTATCATCAAGCATCCTCAGGAGTCAAGATTTTTGGGATCTATTTTCTGCAAAGAAGGAGAGCACAAGTCCTCTTTTGCATTGACATGTGCTTGCCGCACTTTGCACTTCCAAAAAAGAACACAGTTCAACTTAATGTGTTTTCTTGACATTCTCATGGCACTTTTGGCACTTTGGGTCTGTATAAGGAAGAATGGTGAGCAATCCCTTCGCAACTTGACTCTGCTCTCTGCACGCGACTTGACTGCTTTCCAACGAACAAGTTTCACCAGTACATGTACCACTTGAAAAGTGGACTCACAAAGGGTGAACGGAAGCTAAGGTTCATATTAGCCTGGAAACATGATGTGATTTTGATGGGATATGCTGAATGCCTAGAGCCCTGGCAGGATTTGAGCCCGTGACCATCTGCTTCCAACACTGCTTCAAAATGCACCCGGAGCTTAGGGAGGAGGGAGAGGGGGGGTTCGAGTGAAAAATCACTGTGTTGGACTCAGACCTGCCCATCCCCTTGCTGAAGCATGAGTAACTCCAGCTAGCTACCGCTAGCTTTCGTGATTAGTAGAAATCGGGTCCTGAATCGTGAATCGAATCATGACAACACGTCATGTTTGATGACAATTGGAGTTTCCAACACCCACAGCAAACAGTTCTTCAGCATGTCCAAGTCTATTCTCTGACCTGTTGGAATTTGAAACACATTACGGACTATAACGGCATCCATCATCATCCCATATGCTCCACAGTCCCGTGGCATGAACACCGTGGTAGCTGTGGTTTCAACATTAATCGTAGCCGATCGACATCCCAGGTTGGATGGACATTCCACTGAAAAACCATCTGTCAATGTGTGGCATGACTATTTAGAATGCAGGTTGGTTCTGAAACCGTGTCAAAGCCTTCTATCAATTCCACAATGCGTTTTTGTTGATATGTTTTTGTCATAGGTTGCTGACTTCAAACATCCAGCTACTTGCACATTTGCCACATAGTCACAAAATTTCAAAAAAATGCGCAGGCGTAGCCCCAAATTCAGACCCATTTCAGACCCCCACATCAATCCTTGGAAAGCGATTGGCCCATTGATATTTGGAGCCATATGATCTCAATGATAGCCTCTACTTGTTCAGATTTATAGCGCTTGAAAAAAATAACAGAGGGCGAATCTATCTGTTTTTCGTGGGGCCAGCCGTGAAGCAACCCTGAATCTATCGCACAAGGCAATACTTTCCCAAACATGAACACTACAGTTAAAATCTCCCACAGGTGAAAGTTGAGATAGTTACATGAATATTGCATATCTACTGTGCATTGTCCATTCTTCATCCTGAAAAATCTGAAAAGGTCCTCTATAGACCTCCAGTTTTCTGGGAACGAGTCCAAGCTTCGCAGGATCTCACCACTGTTGCCGAGTACAGCTTTGATGTCGCACTCCGTGAGCCCTCCTTGGAGTGGCATTGGCATCACGCAGCGCATGACCAACTTACCCCCTGCCGAGCCAACTCCCCAGCCTCTGTGGTTTACCGCCAAGGCTCCAACGGGAAGCAAAAATAGGTCATCCAAGTGATGCAAATCCACTTGATCCCGAGCATCCTCAGTGTGGAGATGGCCGTCATCACAGGCATTGCGATGGTTGCAATCTGTGCCGAAAGGAACCATTAAGAGGATCCACCTTCACTAAATTATGTGGCACTACAGTACCGGGTTCTTCAAGGCGAACGCCCACATCGACCAAAAAAAATTAACATGCACCGGAAGCCTGCGGACCCCCTGCATCAATGTTGCTAACCAGCCTTCTCAATGGTGGAAGCAAGAATGGTTATGCTTTTGTCAAGGCTCCACCAAGCACTGTTTTCACACAACATTGAAATTGGGGGACACGGGGTGTCTAGCTCTCCTCGCTAGAATTCAAGTTGTTGTCTGTTTTTTTCAAGAACCCAGCAGTAAGCCATTCAGAACTTCCATGGATCATCCCACCAACCAACAATTTTTGTTTTTTCCATCATTCCAAAGAAGGGGCAAACGCAACAATAAACCCCAATTGGGGATGTTTATTATTAATTATATATACGATTTGGTTTGCACATTCTAATGAGACCCCAGCCTACCACAGATCCCAGTTGCCTTTCAAGAAGTCAGGTCGGGTTTGGGAGTGCCACAAAAAAGGTTGCGTCTACAGATAGCCCTCCATGCTTTCGGAAAATTCCCGAGATTTATACTCTTACGTTCATGCGGTGAGCAAAGTGCCAATTCTCAATTCAATGGAGCTCCATTGGGCATGCTACGGCCTGTGTTGTCAAAACATGGATCTACAGTTTTGACTTGAAGGCTGGCTCGCAAACAAACCTGACAAAAACAATACAAAAACATGCAAAGCAAAACCATGCTGATTTTTTGGTTCCGGAGGTTGGGGATGCTGCTGGCATTTTGCTGGCGCAGTATTGTTTTTTCGTATCTACAAATTTCGTTTCATGAGTTCAAACGCCTCCTCCCCCTAGCTTGCTCACCAAGTCGGAGAATATTTTCGCGATTTTGAACGGAATGTTGTCTCAAATCCCTCTTGTTCTGGGCGGCTCACAGCCAGGTCAAAAGCATAGCAACCTCAAAATAGATGAAGTTTATATAGAGAAAACAAATATGAACAAATGAAAACCTACAGTAAATGCTCTGATCTGCAGCATGCTGGATAAGCTGATCGATTTTATGTGGATTCATTTAGGGGCAACCGCTCAGGATGATATATTTTTCGAATATTTTTTAGATTCAAGTGTGGAGGGCACAGCGTCCAAAGAAACATGCGGAACGTTCGAGCTGGGACCCTTTCAAAGATCCGACACTTCGAATTTTACAGCTCATAATGTTCCAGTGCTACCACTGTTCGAGCTGGGTTTCTCCAAGCCAAACCAACACTACCGGCTGGACAGCTGCGGCTAGCACTAAACTCGCTGGGATGATGCAATCTCTCAATATCCTTGCTACACAGGGTACTCAAACCTGGCAAAACCTGGCATTTTGAATGATCCCTAGTGGACAAACCATCCATGCATGAACAAAAATGATCATACATATGTCATCATGTGAATTTAGTATGACATACAGTTAAAATATAAAGTTGGAAACGCTGATTTGAATAGCTATGCCAATGATCACAACTGATGTATTTGTATATGTATATATGCACATATGTGTATTATTAAATATCTATATATATATATATATATTATTGTATATATATATATCATTATACATATATCTAAATATATATATATATGCATGTATGTATATGAACAAACACATACACCTACATGACCTACGGATGATTTTGCCAGCCCATCGCTTTGGTGTCAAGGTACCTCCTCACCCCTCAAAATGTTGGCTAAGTGGATGCCCTTCTGTTCATCATCTGGCCGGGCCAACTGCAGGGGGAAGGTGCAACAGGGGTATCATGGGGATATAAAGTAAACGGACCATATATCACATGATACCATCCTAGATAAATAAATCATTATAATGATATATGATGATATTTATCCCATGATAAATGATATATATATACATAAACTTGTATATAATCATTTGTTTATACATATTATATATATACATATTACCTCTCTCTCTCCATCGCCATCTCCAAGAGCCTGGCCAAACGCTAAAGGCGAGCCAAGCCCAGTGACAAGAAGGAGCAGGTCAGCCCGCTAGCGTTGTTGCTAGCTGCTTCATGGCGTCACTCCATGCCATGGGCAAGAAAGAAACTTCCACTACTATTCGACACAAATGAAATGGTTCAAAAAACATCGGAGTCTCTCTCATCAGAAGGACATCTATGTGAGTTTGCTCAGGGCTCGTTTGGAACAGAAGAACTCGCAGGTGGAAAGTACTGCGCCACAACCACTCACTGCTCAGAAGGCTTTGGAACAAAGCTGCCGAACCATTGCCACAGTATGATTGTTTGCGCCATCCATTGACTCGATCTAGCTCCAAAAAACAACGTTCCAGGGGATGAGTCACGTCGCAAACAAAGACTTGCTGTCCATGGAAACTTCCCTGGAGGCACCGCCGGGTCCACATGCACTTCAGATAATGGGAAAATGTGCGCCTTGGATTCAGGCACAAGGGGGACCCCACTGTGCCGCAGCCAACTATTTTCCAAATCTTTCCAGTGGCAACCATCTATTCTAAGCCCTGATGCTGCAAGTATCGGATCACACTGCGGTGACCACTGTTGTCAGGTCCGGTTCTACCACGCCTTTGGCCAGAAGAAGGTCTCAAGTCAAGGAGCACGGAGCGAGTCAACGAGGACGGAGGCATGCGAACAACATGTCCAATCCATTGCCAAACCATGCGGACTAGCAAAGTATCCCAGAGTTCACTGTAGGCCCGGCCCCAAAGCTTACCATGCCGCAGAGCCTGCAAGCATTCCACTGTAAACCAAGAAGGGTGCGCACGACCCCCCGCCAGCCACGTAGCAAGGTCACGTTGTGCACGCAAAGACGTCGGAGGACATTTTGTCTGACAGACAAGACGCACAGGGACCAGCAAAGGGAAGCAGTCACAAGGGCATTAAAGCCGAAGCTTGTGTTGCCGTGTGGCCAGACGGTTCGTCAGAAGGGAACGGTTGGAGAAAAACACAGCCGTGGCATGGTTACAGAGTTGATCCACCATATGGTCGTCCTCACCAGTGACCTGAAAAGGCAAGCCTAGATACTTGGAGGTCGCCACCACAGGGAACGCTGCCAAGCAGCCAAGCAAAGCGCAAGAAAGGGAGCACCCCAGGACGCAAGACTTGGCAACATTGATGCTGAGCCCCAAACAAGCATCGAAACAACCTGAGGCAGAAGTCGGAGGGCTTGAGCAACAGTCTGATAAACAAGAATTGCATCGTCAATAAACCAGAGAGCCCACAGGGACAAGGTTGCAGCAACAAACGCCGGGTGTTCCCCTTGCAACTGCCAAGTTTGTGTGAGTTGCTCAAAGCGGGCGGCAACCAGGCGGCCAAACAGCGTTGGAC